ATTAATTATTATAATAATTAATTATAATTTAATTGATAATTATTAGATAATTAATTATTATTTACTGAAATAATTAAAAGATTGAAGTAATTAAAATTAAATAAAATGTAAAGAGATAAACTGAAATTTAATAAGCGTTTTTTAATATAATTTTATTGCTAAAATAAAATTTTTTGAGATAAAGTTTCTGCTGAAATTGTTATTCAATTACATAAAAGAAGTGCCGCAGCCTTCTTATTCAGGTCTCTGGTGTGTTCCGGCTAGAATTATGATTTATTACGAAAACTAAGAAGCACCGGAGACGACATCCGGTGGGCTCCGGCCCAATTTAAGCTTTGATTATAAGGCTGAGGGAGGAAAATTTCTTTTATCATCACAAAAATTAAATATACTTGAAGTATAGCTGATGAAAATTCCAGGGCGAAGCAGAATGAGGGTATGAATGGGTGGAAACTAAAAATGAGGAGAATTTTGGTGAGAGATAACGCTCTCTTTGACAGCAGCTCTCTGCTGATATAATTATAGCCATCAAGCAGATGTGTGTCAGAGGTAAAATGAGTCCTGAATCCGACTCCTAAGAATGACTGTAAAGTTGCTGTTTACGCTTTCCCCCATTAGTGGATACTGTGGGAAGATGATGTATAGGAGGTGCTTGAGCAGCTTATGCTAAATGCATCAGCTCCAACAGAAAGATTTTTTTTTTTCAATAATGAACAATAAATATTGTTGTTCAGAAAGACATTGATTACAGCTGTCAACAGTAAAGAAACTATTAAACTTGAAAATGAATTCTGAATATTCATCTAAGAACTTTTATGAACATTAAAAAGAAGTTTTTGTCAATATTACCTAATGGAAGATATACAATAATCAATATATAATCTTTTTGTATACTTTCCTTTTATTTCTTCATACACCATAACTGTCCACAAACATAAGCATATGCAAACAATTTTCAGGGTGGAGGGAGATGAGATGAAATGAAAACCCTATCAGTGTGTGCTTTTCCATAATTCAGTGACAAAAATTTATTTTAGAAGCATTAGTTTTCAAAATCAAAATTATAATCTGAGTAACTTATTTAAAATGACTCTTCATGTAACATCCTGTTAAAATATCACCGCTATAATCCTGTAGGTAAAGAACATTGAAATGATTACTAACATCCATATTATATATATTGGTACAGCAATGACACATTAGACTAGTTGGCCATTGAAAAGCCCTTGCTAAATATATGCACCATATTTTTACAGCTACTGGGGTTTGTTGTATTTAGAAGTTTTGATCTTTGTAGTTACTGAAAACTTTTTGAATGATTTTATTCAGAAATCTTTAAAATGAATATTTTATAAAGTAAATTAGGTACTAATTGTATTCAGTGATTGTATTCACAAAACTTTCTTATTTTCCACATGATAGAGAATTTTGTTATCCAAAGCAGACATGATAAAAATGCTTAAGTCTGAGATTATTATTATCTGTTTGGAAACAAGAATGCAATCATTATTTCCATGATTATATTTTTAGCATCTTAAAATCTTTTTAACATTTATTCATAACTATAGAATAAATGTTATTTAAAATAATCAGTATACAGAAAATAAGCTTTATAAAAAACAGATTGTGTCTATACAAATAAAAGAATCCAAACATACAGCTCAGCATCTGTATGGACAGAAATTAGAATTAATTGGGTTATTTAATTAAAATAAAGCATACTTCCTAGTTTCATCAAGACTGTCCTAGAGGATATACATTCAAATGTTTACTGAAAATAGCCTAGGGAACAGGATAAGAGTCTCATATTCCTCTTCTGCAAAGAAGCTTTCAAATTAACTTCTGTTTCAACAAGTTGTAGGTGCTGTCATCCTGCACAGACACTGACAAATATCACAAACATGCATGTTTAATGAAAATCACACAATGAAGTCCAACATTCTGCATTCTGAAAATATCTGAAATTTCCAGGTAAGTGTTGTACATAAATTTAAGAAATTATTTGGAATTCAATCCTTTTCTTTATGTAAGCTAAGAGGTTTTTTTGTCACTTGAGGATCTCTTATCGGCTTGATTTAGGTGAACAGCATTTTTGTGCTTTGCATAATTCAAATAAACCAGTCCTACTTCTAAAGGAATATAACTTTAGAAATCATCTGCACACAGTCAAATAAAAGAATTTACAATTAAATAATAGGAATCATACATCGAAATGGAACAAATCAACTTATTAGAGTAACAAAAATCTTTTGAAATTAGAGTGAAGGAAATTAACTTTATCATTTTTCTTTTAAGAAAACCTTTCCTTATATAAATGTCTATTACAATAATTAAGCTTTTTTTTAAAGCTAAAACTATGTGATCAACAAAATATACTTATTAATATTTTACATATCATTGATGTGTAGATAATTAATAGAGGAATATACTTAAAATGTATACATGTGGTACATAATCAGCTTTTATATTCAACCCCTACAAATGTAGCTTTAGCACACTTAAGCAATTTTTTCCTCGTGTGATTTTACATTTTTATAAACGATGCACATACAATTACATATTATATTTATAATTACAATTTACATGTTTAAATATGGGAAACAGTAAATAATTCAAAATTATTTTAAGAAATATGTAAATGTAATAAACATTATTTTTAACTCTCATGTATGTAATTCAAAATGATCAAATCGGATACAGCTTCCTGTGTATTATTGCAAAGCTCTTGAGAAAACTTTTGTATCGGATGATTTTATGTGCTTTAATTTTACAAAGATACTAATACAATCACAAATATCCATGCTTTACTTCAAATACAAAACCATTCCCAATGTTCTACCTTTTAATAATATTTACTATTTTCAACAGAATTTGTTTCATTTTAAATTGTTTTTATACACATCAAAACTGAGAAAACGTTCAAAAATTTTCCTTTCCCAAGTCACATGTGTAAAGAGGTTTATGATATTTGCAGAACATAACATCTAAAGTTAGCTCATTATAAAAATATTAAGCAATGTAAAGAGTGCTATTAATTAAGAGTAACAGAATATGCAGTAAAATGGATTAAAGAAGAAATTATGCATGAAGCAGCAGCTGAAAATAATGTTTTCTAATTAACAAAGCAGAAAAGCAACCCTTGTGCTACTTTTCTTATAAAATAACACAGTATTTTTATTTATTTATTTTTTCAAAAATAAAATCTAAAGAAATCAAACTATGAGAAAGCCAAATTTATATTAATATCAGAAAAAATTGACACATAGTTGAAATTGTCTGGCTTGGACTGTACAAAAAGGTTACGAGATTTACATAAATATATATAACTGTTGAGAAATCTGATCTACATTATATAATGCTGTAGAAATTCTAATCAGCAGTTCAATAGTTTACTGTGGCGACTCTGTAAACATATGTTGTACTCGCCAACTGCGCGCCGTTATCACTAATTGTAACCGAAAGTGATTTTGGCGACACACAGTCACGTCTCGTCGTCGGTGCGGTTGGTCGCTCGCTTTCCTCCAACGTGATTGTCTGTCGACTGGAGTAATTAAGTTTTAATATTGTGATATGATTAAATGTTTTTGTTATCAAAAATTGGCTCTTATGGCATGTTATGAATTCATCCTTAAAAGCACTGGCAAATTCCAATACGCATAGTTTGTTGTTGCACACAGCCGCAACCACGTGCAACAAATGGTGACTTCAGGACGGTGAGGCTTAAGCCAAATGAATCGTCGAAATTTATAGTACAGCAGAAATTTTTGTGCTTAAACAAGACCTTGTAATAATGTGCGAAATGCAGCTGAACCAATATTTTTTTACTTATGTGTATTGGATTACTTATCGTGTCTATTGGATCGTGCATCAGTTTCATCATATTACAGCCACGTGGATTACCTTCATGTTTTCATTTGTGATCATCTTTCAGACATGCGGATTACCTTCATCTTCCATTAGTGATAGTGTTCCAACATCAAGCGAGTGGATAATTTCTGTACATCAAGGTGATATTTTCTACCTTTTATTCCGCACATGGATTCGTATGTATTCGTCAAGCGGGTGAGTTTTTTCCTATATTCATTTGAACCCAGGTCCTAACATTAATTATTTTGTGTTTCTTCACGTGTACTGCAACAGTATTCTTGAACTATATCGTTTTTTTTTTATCTGTATTTATTCATATTTATTATGGCTACTAGCGATCCTCTAGCCACTGATGACAAACAAATGGCTCGCGTTGCTGTGAAACCTGCCCCATTTTGCCGTAGTGACCCCAACCTTTGGTTTTTTTTTCAATTAGATGCACAATTCAAGCTCGGGGGTATAACACGCGACGACACGAAATTTTATACTGCAATTTCCGCCCTCGACACTGAGGTTCTTCAGTCAGTACGCGAGATTGTTCTGAAACCCCCCTCGGATAATAAATACGAGGAATTGAAAAATAAATTAATTTCAGTTTATGAGGAGTCTGAAAACACCAAACTAAAGCAGTTATTACAAGATTTGCAACTTGGTGATATGCGCCCATCCCAGTTATTGTCAAAAATGCAGGAGCTTGCGGGTGACAATTTTAAGTCCAATGTTTTACAATCATTGTGGCTCAATCGTCTCCCGAACAATATCCAAGCTATTCTTGCCTCCAGTAACGAGAACCTACCCCAACTGGCCCAAATGGCAGACAAAATTCATGATGTTCTCCAACCACAAGCAATCAGTCAAGTTCAGCATCCCAGTGTTGATATTTCATCTCTTCAACAACAAATCCAGGAATTATCATTGCAGGTCGCAGCCTTACAGACACGATCTCAGTATCATCCGCGCGGTAGATCAAAGTCCCGGAACCGAAATAATAGGGAATACCAACGCGCTCATTCTGGTACTCAATCAGACATTTGTTTCTATCACAGCCGATTCGGTGATAAAGCGCGCAAGTGTACACCTCCATGCAAATTTCAGAAGACCTCTTTAAACTGAAGGGGCCGTCACTCGAAGCCATGAGTGACAACGGCCCGTGCATTAGTCGATTGTTCGTAACAGATAAACCATCAGGCAGACGTTTTCTTGTTGATACAGGTGCTGACATTTCGGTTGTACCTCCCTCTTTTGCCGAATCCAAACGGCCGCCTGGAAAATTTAACTTATTTGCAGCTAACGGGTCAAAAATTGCAACATATGGAGAAATATTAATGTCTTTGGATCTAGGATTGCGTCGCAAATTTCAATGGCCATTTGTCATCGCTGCGGTTTCGCACCCAATAATTGGTGCAGACTTTCTGCAAAAATTTTCTCTGTTGGTCGACATTAAAAATCGACGCTTACTCGACTCCATCACACAATTGTCCGCGGTAGGTAGCATTGGAAATGCCACTAATTTTGGAATTAAATTAATTTCCGGTAATTCTCCTTTCCACAAACTACTTGAGCAATACCCTAACGTCATCCGCTCAGTAACTGGCAAACCGACTGCTGACCACGGTATTGTACACGTCATAGAGACTACTGGACCACCAATCTTTGCCAAAGCAACGGCGGTTGCCTCCAGAGAAATTAAAGGCTGCAAAAGAAGAATTTAAATACATGCTTGAGCAAGGAATCTGTCGGCCATCTAAAAGTTCATGGGCCAGTCCACTCCACATGGTCCCTAAGAAAACGGCGACTGGCGTCCTTGTGGGGATTATCGACGTCTTAATTCAGTTACTTTGCCTGATAGATATCCGGTTCCTCATATTCAGGACTGCATGCAAGTCTTGGAAGGCAAAAATATTTTTTCTACGTTAGATTTGACTCGTGCTTACCACCAGATCCCTGTCAATCCACCTGATATACCAAAAACTGCTGTAATAACACCTTTTGGATTATTCGAATTTCCTGTCATGACTTTCGGGTTATGTAACGCTGCGCAAACGTTTCAGCGCTTCATTAATGAAGTCCTTCGAGATTTAGATTTTTGTGTCCCATATTTCGATGACATTCTGGTAGCCTCGACAACTGAAAACCAGCACCTTGAACACCTTTGCATAGTCCTTGGCCGATTTCAGTCTTATGGTGTAGTCATTAATCCATGAAAATGTGTTTTCGGGAAATCTAAAGTGTCATTTCTTGGTCACGAAGTTTCTTCGGAGGGCGTTCGCCCAAACGCCCACTTAGTGCCAGAGTCACTGCAATTCAAAATTTCCCAGAGCTAAAATCTGTTCAGGAACTGCATCGTTTTTTGGCCATGTTAAATTTTGATCGTCGCCAGGGTTGCCACGCTACCTGGAAAACCGGAAAAAGTCAGAAAATTCGGAAATTGACCAAAAAATTCAGGAAAAAGTCAGGGAATTTAAGTCTTTTAGTCAAAATCTGGAAAAGTCAGGGAATTTCATACAACGATTCCGCCAAAAAAGGCGAGTTTTGCGCCGACGTCGGAAGAGATCACTTTTTTGGCGAATTGTGTATCACGTGAGTGTCGTTCGGGCAGCTGGCATAGAGCCAATTTTCGCAGCTCCAATTTGATTGTCTTTATTTGATTGATAGAAAGGCAAAGCACGTTTCCCGCAACTTTTGGTTTCCAGTAACCTCGAGAATCGCATGTGCAGTTCATGAACTAAAGAAAGTACCTGTTCTCGTATAAAACAAAATGGGTTTAATCCTAGTATACGGTACCATGAAGGTTAGAATTAAAAAAATATGTATTGTAAAGAAGGAAAACCTCTCTGCAACAGACGTGGCTCGGTTCCATCATAGCGGGAAACAGCTGTGCATGCGCGATATATCTGTCGCCAAAGCTTGAAACCGGTGTCGAAGTTCGAAGGTCACGTTATCAAGAGTTCATAAAATGAATATCGTTTAAAATCTTTAAAGGAAAAGAAAATATTTTTTGGCGCAAGTAAATTAATTCATGGATTAGTTATTTTGAGGGGGGGAAAATCTACCAAAATCCGCTTTTAAAATTATTGCGAAAAATCCAAGAAAAAACGTTCTTTGATAAAACGTTTCTTCTTGGATTTTTCGCAATAATTTAAAAACGGATTTTCGTAGTTTTCTTTTTTGTCAAAGAACGTTTCTTATTAACACGTGTTTCTCAATTTCCTATACACATCGCGGAGAGGGAAATTCTGGCCGTTCCGTCTTCTAATCCCTTGGCAAATTTCCCCTCCGCCTTTTACATAGACGTTCTTTGGTCAGAATAATCTCCATGTATGGTACAGCCATGGACCTTATAAGAAATAGACTAACCCAGTGGGCGGGGCGTGCGTCACACACATGTCGAGAAGAGAGAGTAGAGAGGATTTAGTTAATCGTAACATTGAAACATATGGCGTTTGTATCACATAACTCTTTTTAATTATTAAATGTGATACGTTGTATAAATGATGAGATAATAAAAATCACAGTTTTTGCTAATAAGATTTTATATATCTCATGAAACCACTTTTTAGTGCATTTTGAGTATTTTTTTTACTACATTTTGAGCATAAGCGTAATTCTTGTCTAAACAAACAAAAAATTTATGAATTTACTTTTGCCTACAAATAAAGTAAAATTAAGTAAGATTGATAGTATATGATGCTATGAAACAAATAAGGTAAAATTAAACAAGATTTGGTAATTTTTTTTTTAATTTTATGAACATTTTCAGGCAGTAGTAGCAAATATTTATCATTTCAAATGTTTATAGAAACCAAGGATTGTTTTATTTATTTTTTCTGTTTTCAAAATTATTATGGTATTAAAAGATGATCATTTATGACAATATTAATAACTCATAAAATTCGGAGCATAAACTTTTCTGAGTGTAATGAAAAATTTTTTAAAAAATTCGCAGTAAATAAAAAAATCTTATGCGGAACTAGAAATAAATTTTAAAAAATAATTACTATAAAATACAAGATATTATATGTCCAATCTTAAATTTTTATTAATGCGCCTAAAGTAACCTTGTAATTTTATATACCTGTAAAATGTATAAAAGTAAACAATTTAGGATATTTGTTGCATTGAAAAATTCGCTTACTTCACTTTTTATTTCAAATATTTGGGAAAACAAGATTATATCTGTTTATCTATTAATGTAAATACACACATCTATATATATATATTTAGAGACAGAGAGAGGAAGAGAAACAAATAATATGGTTTATTGATGCTTAAATAAAATTAATTTAGTAAATCTGCTTCGAATATTTTCTCTCTGTTTAGATTCATTGTAACATGCAACTGCATGATGCATTCTGATTTTTAAATATTGAAATATCACTGCTTTAATTAATTTAATCAGGTGGTTTTTATCTGGCTCATCATCATAAATATGGTGTTGAAGAGAAGGAAATATATGTGTTCCTACGCTTTTTAAGACTTTTAGAGTCATGAAATTTATAATATTTTTTTATTCAATTTAAACTCCTTTTCAGTCTGCCTAAAAATTATTTCTACATTTTTGCAGATCATTCGGACGTCACTGGAAGGAGAAGTCAAACCTTTACATCCAGATTTATAATATTTGAAACCTAGCAAACCATCATATGGTTCTGTTGAAACTAAAGCTGAGAAACAGATATTACATTTTACTTCATAAGCTAAGCTTTTAACAACAAAACCAGCTATATAAGATGTATACTTTTCGTTCTTAAATCTTCTTATTTTTGATTAGTTATAATGCTAGGAATTAAAATTTACCTATAATTTAAAAAAGCAGCAAAAAATTATAAATTTTAAAGAAAAACTTTCAAAAATTCATTTTAGGCATTTTAGTATTTAGCTATAGTTTAGTATTAGTTAGAGTTTTAGTAATTGTAAGAGGAAATTACTTGGTTGAATTTTTCTGTTAGTTCAGATTTAAAATATTATTTTCTAAAAGAAGAAGTTACAAATTCGCTTACATCATATGAAAAGCTAAAAATATATACAAGCCTGAAAGCATGAAACAGCTTTATAATTATTTAGAACGTTAATTATGCTTGAAAAACATGCTAAGTATTTAAAAAGCAATCTCAGTGTCAAAAATAAAAATATTTAAAATTCTTACTTGTGAAATGAGGCACTACCACCAGCTTTTTCGTGACAATTGTACGCGCTGCAATAGCCAACCATTGCTAATTTCTGGAAGTCGTCCCTACTCCTCCGGATGTGATCAAGGTGACAGCAGGGAACGCGCCAGACAAGAAAGAAAACGCAATTGGGTTAATCTATTTCTTATAAGGTCCATGGGTACAGCGGGATTTGGCGACATGATGATGAGCAGTAAACGGGTCATTTTGTTCTTGGCGACAATTTTCAAAATCATGCGAAGGGCGTTTTATACTCCGTGGCCGTATCGTATACTAGGATTTTACCGCAAAAATCTTTTTTTTTTTTAATAAATACCTTGTCATTTTGCAGTAAAATAAAAAAATAGTAATCAATCATCTAGGATAACCATGTAATATAACTATATTCGCTAAAATATCGTTGATTATTCTAATTAAATTTTTAAGTAATTATCTTTATTTTTATGTTATTCATATCATTTAATGTTACTTCTTTCCCTCTAAATTTATTTATCATTAGTAAATAATATTTCCAAATTTCAGAATTTTCAGGAAATTTTCTCTGGCATAATCCTGAAATTAATTCTAGCAGTATGATGACATCACGAAATTTAATGCACATATTTTTTCCGTATGTATGCTGCGGAATAAATATAAAATACCTCAATTTAGTAAAAAAATATCATTAAATAGATTTCTTTCTTTCGTTTAGCTGCAGAATGTCTGCAAAAAAAACCCTTATTTTATTCTAGATTGGGCAGATTCTAATCTCAATCTTCAGTGGAGAAAACAACTCCTATTATAATTATATTTGTGTTTTCAAGTGTTAAGGTGTCTTTTAAGAATACACCTCACACAAATTAGATTTACCTAAAATCTAACCTAACTTTTAGCATTGCGTTGTGATTTATAAGAACCGGATTAGCCTCGTGTTGAACTGGGGATGATCATGAGTAATAATTAAATAAAACTCACAGTTGTTATCCAATGTATATATCTTAAATTTTATTAAGTTTTTTAGGCGGAAAAGTAAACAAAATTATCAAACAAAGTGTACCAAGAATAATTAAGAATAAATGTCCTCTGGGATTTATTGAATAATTAAGTGAATTTGCTACACAGTACAAGTAACACCATAATTAATTTACCTCTTAGCACAGCCAACGTACATTACGCGGATAGACTGGAATTTTCTCGAAACATACCTGGAAAACCTGGAAAAGTCAGGGAATTTCATTCTCCTGTTTGAGTGGCAACCCTGCGTCGCTTTCTTCCTCATGCCGCTGAAAAGCAGGCACCTTTGCACACATATTTGGTTGGGAGTAAAAAGAAAGATACGCGCCCAATTATTTGGTCAGATGATGCCCGTACAGCCTTTGTACAATGTACCCCACTTTTCGACTTTTGACGTCGGCAACAGCTCTTAGTTATCCTTCTAAGCACCCTTTAGCATTAATGGTTGACGCATCTAATACGGCCATGGGTGCGGTTTTGCAGCAACTGGTAGACGGAGCATGGAAGCCTCTGGCTTTCTTTTCGAAAAAAATTTCTGCAGCGCAATCAAA